AAGTGGATTTCGGATAAATTGTAGTAATAATGGGCGATATTCATTATTTTTTGCTAAGAAAAATGAACCTATTACACCTTTCTTGTTTTGATGATTAAACAGCTTTGTGTCTTTGACCCATATATTCAAACAAACAGCTCCCACAAAATCACCAATATTGTTTTCCGTCATCCTTTATGCACTTTACTACATAAATAAGGATCTATTGTGTAACATGGACTATTAAGGGCATACATGTAATCCAACATATTTTCTCACATTATTGAGTAGCGTATGACTTTTCACGAAAAGTGCAGGCACATAAAAACCCTCCCATTTAATCTAACCTCATCATCTGCATCTTTAAAGAAACACACACCAAGCCTAAACACATCCAGCTGTACTGACTGACCGCAAACCTCCTCAATACACGGAAAGCCCAAACCAAACTCAACCTGAGCTACAGGACTGCTCGATTTTTGCTCATCTAAAGGTGCTTTTACACATCAGGACAAGCCATTTAAACCTCTGAATGGCTAATAAATTCAGGCATCTGTACAATAAAGCGAAACAAAACTGTAAATAAAATAACACCACTCTGTACAAGTCAGCCCCCGGTGAACACCTAACTGTACAAAGGCATAGATTTTACATGTTTGGCAAAGGATCTTTAAAAGGACACTTGCTGTCTCTTGTACTATAGATGTTTTTACTAGGAATGACTAACTCACTTCTTGTAAACCTGAACTAATTGTAAATAATTGCTTGTGTACAGATGAGAAATCCTACTGTACTGTATTGTAAGTTAGTTGCTGTATTTTGGGGGGGGTTATTATGAATATTAACTGCTGTCACTGGCATCCCTTCACAGCCGAATGAAGGTGAAGATGACTTTGTAAATTGCTTGCTTTGTTTCTGTTGGATTTTGTTTTGGTTTTTGGCTGATCAGAAACGTGACTGGTTGAAGTCTGTGTACAGATCTGTTTATTTAGCATTCAGCTACAGGAATTGTTCGGTCGTTACGATGTAAGCATGATCAAGTCGAGCACTGTGGGGGGCTTGAGAGATTACTTTCCGAGTCCTTACACAACTGAACACTACAGTTTGTTAGCCTGGCCTCATTCATCATATGATGGGGTCGAGTACTGTATGAGCGGTCACGCGTTTTCTCAAATCAAAGACACTGTCATGAAATGTTTTCTCTCGTTCTCACTGTCGTTATTGGCATCTGAGCTGAGTTTATGTGACGAAAGCACAAGCGAGCGAATGAGCTTTTGAAACGGGCATTCAGGGAAATAGTGCTTTCCAGGATGGAGAGGATGTTCATTTATAAATACTCACGTTCATGTTTGCAATGATTTTAGTTGTTTAAATAAATGAATTTATTTGTCATTTTCATCAGAGTAAACCAAGTCTTAATATGGGCTATAAAAAGAAACAAAACAGAAAATAAGTTGAATTGCCAGCAAAGTGTTGGATCAAAGTCAATGTTTCACACACTATGCAACCAGCTGCAGTTAAATTTCAAAACACACATCTGGAATATACGCCTACAAAAGAAACAATCATTTGCTTGCAGATTATGGAATAAAATGGGAACATGCAAAGGTAACCTGACTTCTAGATAATGCAGAGTACTCCTAAAAATTCTCTCAGAATAATAAGAATGTGATGTTTCACATTTTTTGTCATTCGTGGATATAAATAATCATGATTATGCAAGCAAGCATTTCCCTGCTGGTTCACATCTCTTTGTTTTGTACATTGATTACTGTAACTGTTTTATACTCCGATGAAAAACATGAAAAAATAATAAAAGGCTTTTATTTTGCAACTCTTACGTTTGGTTTTTATACTTGCTTTTTATGTCTGTCTATTTGTCTAAAATAAATTATTGAATGTTTTTTTATTAAGGCGAAAGGAAAGTAAAATACTATTACTATAATTTCAGAAGAGCAAAAAAATGCAAAAAGAAAAAAAACTAAATGCGAATAAAAAAGATTAACAACTCACGAATGAAAGCAATAATCTTTGTGTTATTGACGATTTTAAATACTTGTGTGAAGAGTTTTGTATATATATATATATATATATATATATATATATATATATATATATATATATATATATTTTATTATATTTGCTGAACTTTTCCAATCAAATGCATTAGAAATCCTACAATAGGATATTCAGATTTTAACATATGTATGTAAAATAACAAAAAGAAAAAAACATAAGAGAAAACAAACAAACAAAGAACAAGAGGGGTATACATAAGTATATTTACAAGGGCTTTCAAAATTAGCGCGTTAACGCACGTGATTAATTTAAATTATTTAACGCAATAAAAAAAATAATGCAAATAACGCAGATGCAGTTTTTTTATTTTTCCAGTTGTGGCCGATGTGTGTTCAGGGCCAGCGCGTCCATAGAGGCGACCTAGGCGGCCGCCGTGGGCAGCAGAATAGTGAGCGAACCCTCCAGTTTTCACTTTCATCCACTACACCCACCCCCTCCCTCACGGTCTTTACTTTCATCCGTAAACTGGTCACTTTCTTTATCACTTTTAGGTTGAGGGCAGCGTGTTTGCCGTTTGCCTAGAGCGCCGGTCCCTGCGTGTGTTTAACATGCAAAGAAATATAGATGAGACCAAGGACGCTCTTTTAGAAGGAAAGTTACAGTATAAAACAAAATAATGTTTCATCGCCAGGCTCTCCTGCGTTTCCTCCAGAGTTTCGGGTGTTTCATTTTTAATCTTTAGACTTTAACAGCAGTTCAGCTGTTCACTCTCATTCAGCAAATTTTCATTCAGGATGTTTAAATGGAATTTGATACTGCATGACGAACGGGAAGAAAAAGCCAAACATTAGAACACTTAGTTTATGCAAATTTGATGAACGCGGTCAAGCATGTTGATGTATCTGAAGGGATCTCTCGCTCACCTGGTATTGCGCGTGTTGTCTGTGTGTGTTTGTGTGTGTGTTTTTGTAGTCCACTTACAATCCAACATAGAAATCCTTTTTGGTTTTTATTGGCATTGATTGTTTTGAAATTGAAATGCTCTTACATTTTTATTTCCGTAATAAATACAGCGTTTTGTGATTAATCATGATTAATTACGTTAATTAAATTTTGTGATTAATCATGATTATTAAAAAATAAAGCTTGAATTATTACGTTATTTTTTAAATCATTTGACAGCCGTAATGTTTACAGTTCTGGTTGTTTTATGACTTGAAAGTCCTTTCAAGGTGCAGTATGTAAGTTTGACACCAAGAGATTGAACTAGGTATTGCATTCCTGGATCAAAACAAACGCAAGCGCAGTTTGCCAGATTGAGGACCAAAAGGAGTGTGCCTGACGATCAAGCCTAAAGGCTGATTCAAATCATGTTTTAAATAAAGACAGTGGCACGCTATAGAACGAATATTTTCCATATTAAAAGGAGTTTTTGTTCTAACCAACATCTCAAATTGATATATTAGAAACGGCTTCTATTTCTTGCAGCTGTACAACAGGAAAAACTCACAATGATCACCTCAGGTACACCTCGTATGCTTTATTCAGAGTTAAATGCTAACAATGTGAGTTTGAATGCCATTTTACATGACATTTATTGCTACTGAAAGCAGTCGTTATAGTTCACCTCTCACCTCTTGAAAATAAAATAAACTGTTGGAAATTGAACTTTAGAACTGTCACTCCAAACCAACACATATCACTGATATCTATATCTACATTTAATAATGTTAAAGAGGTTTAATATGTATTTATTAGATTATAAACATTACCATTTTGTGAGTGAGTGCATACTCTGCGCTTCTAAATGGCTGTATTTATCATATCTTTATATTTTTTATTTATTTATGTAATGTGGCATCTATTTTTAAATAAATTATATGACCACTCAGTATACTAAATAGACTTTCAACATCAAACCAGAGATATTAAACATACATACAACAGGAATTCAAATTTAAGACTTTTTAAGACCCTTTTAAGTCCATTGTGAATGAAATTTTAGACTTATACAGGACTAAACACTAATGATTATTTCTAATGGCCTGATTGGGCCAATGGATTTTTTTTGCTTGCCACTAAATGTAACTATTTCTTAGCAACATACTTTAATGTGTCAAAAAAAAAAAAAAAAAAAGAAAGAAAAGAAAACTCAAGTTGTATACACTTTCTTTCAACATAATATTTATTTTTGACAAAAAAGAGACAAGTTTAACATTGTTAAAAGCATATTAATTGTGGAGACAATTACATAAATAATCAAATATATATATATATATATATATATATATATATATATATATATATATATATATATATATATATATATATATATATATATATATATATTTGTTAGCTTTTGGTCCAAACTGATCATAACTTCTATTCAACCTAATGCATTTTTCTAAGAAATGCTTAATGCCTATTTATAAATATGATGTCTACTCCCCCTTACTTCTGTAAAGAGTTTTTGTATAAATGTAAGATAACGTTAAGGGATATATTGCTCTGCTTTTATCACAAGGAACTGTGTAATTGTCTTTAGTTTTCTTTCCTGGGGAATTGTATCTGTTTTTTTGCAATGAAAAACTTAAATATAAACTTGAATGTTAAAAAAAGTTTTAATAAGATGGATTGTTGATGATTGGATGGATGGATGCCTGATTGTGTAGCTTTATTTGTGCAAAGGAAAATTAAGCCCTGTTAAAAAAAAATATTTAGGATCTACAACAAAATATTTCAGTGAATGTAAGACTTTTCAAGGCCTAAAATTTGTTTTTGAAATTTAAGACATTTTAAGGATACCCTGTACAATCTTGAAAAACAAAAGCAAATGCATAATAGTCTCATAGGTCTCAACCAGGTCTCAACATTCACATTATTGCTTCATTCATACCCCCAGACCCATCTTGCGTTTCACTGCTATTGGCCAATCACAAAGCGTAATACAGCTTTACGTAACACGTACATCTAGGGGGCGGCGCTTATCGCGGCCTTTAGAAAAAAAACCCTGAAGCCATCTAGAATTTTTCAATGGAAACCGCCCAGCTTTATTCAATGCATTATTAAATCAATTACTTTTCCGCTTATCCCTCTAATACTGGCATCTACGTAGACGGCGTCGTCGTTTCCAGGAGCGCTTCAAACGGATAAGAGGTAACGCGCTGCTTTTGTTTTGTACTCTTCCTCTTCAGCCGACCTGTCGCTCCGTCATGGCGCCCGTCCGCTCGGTTCTAGCACTCGTCTTACGGGAAGGTGTTTTAATGGCTCCCCGTATCGCTGACGTCTGTTGACGCGGGTACTTGCGTGCCAGTGACTAGCCTGGAAGTTTGTGCAGAGCGCGGCATAAAGTCGCCCACAGGCTTCAAAACACACCGCAGCGGTTTGCTTTATTTAGAGATGCGTTTTGATCAGGATCTCGTGGGGAAATAAGACTTTAAGAGTCCGACACGCGTTTCAAATTTGCATCATTCCTAGAAAAAATATATCCATATTCTTGCGATGGAACTTTTGTGCAACGCTAGTACAAACACCGAAAACTTCCGGCGAAATCTGAGACTGTCTGACAGTTGAGATGTGAGGCGAAATGTGTGTTTTATGTAGCGTGTTAAGTTAGCTGAATTAGCCTGAGATTGTTTTTTTGAAATGCGAACGTTTAACACTATAGTGTCGTGAATGTTGAATCAACAGGTCTGTAAGGTTAAAATTTACAGCATTATTTTGGTTTCATTACAATGTACATTGTGTTGAAGTCGCTCATTTCTTATTTTTGTATTTTGACGGCCGTTTTTTTAAGCATCCGGTTAATAACAACACAATGCAGCTCCATCTGATTTACTGCTACATGACTTTGTCTTCTATTATAAGCAGTGTAATTACAGTGTAAATTTGTGTTTTATTTATTAATTATTGTACTACTTGCATGGTTTTACTGGAATCAGAATATAAATGTGGACAACAGTCTGCAATAGTAATGTGAGGAAGGCAGCCCGCAAGGCCAGTGTGTGTGTGTGTGTGTGTATGTATGTGTGTGTGTGTGTGTGTGTGGTGAAGGACTGACTCAGAGCTGGGGAAAATGGAAACAGTGACTAAATCAAGGCTTTTTACTGTTACACACACACACACACACACACACACACACACACACACACTGTATGTTTGGGAACAGATGAAACTGTGTTTTTAGCATTTTTATTTTGGCTCTCATTTATACATAAAATTATGAATAAAAACATTCAGAGGCTCTTCCTGTCCTTCAGATTCCTGTTTGACATTTGGTTTAACTGAAGAAATAATTGACGAGTGAAATAATAAATTTTTCCCCCAATATGGTTTATACATGTGTTTATACGATTAATTTAGTTTATGTTTTTGAAATGTGTGTTTTCATTATAAATAAATATATATATATATATATATATATATATATATATATATATATATATATATATATATATACATACAATTATACTATTTATGATCATTATAATTTTATTTTTAAACAAAGTTGCTGTGTTTTTGTATATATTTCAGATATAATTATTTCAAAATTATATTGAAAATGTTTTTTATTTTAATCTATGATTACATTTAAAATTACATAAAAATGTGTTCCTCAGTCATTTGCAAGAGATGACATATGTGCATTATAAAAAAAAAGATCTTGTAAGAAAGCACGGTTGATATGGGCCTTACATAATAATAAATTGCCATGTTATTTAGATAACTCTTGTACAATTGATATCACCACAAACTTGTATCAACATAATTGGCGATTTGGCCTAAAATCACAATCTTGATCAATTGAACATTTTAACTCAATTATGATTAATGAATGATTAGTTTATTTATTTAATTTTTTGCCCTCGTACTTCACTGAAATTTTTTGTACAATAATTATTGGTCACATATTACAATTGAGAGATTTCTGAATGAAAGGTGCATTACTTGATTTTAAAATAGTTGACAAAAACACACACGATCAACTATTTGTTTATTTATTGAGCATCAAAGCTGGTTTATACTTCTGTGTCGAGTGATCGCTGTGACCCATGGTGCATGCCTTGTGCAGTTGTGCATTTATCTATTTGTGCAACCACTTTAATCCCTCCCACGCTCGTCACCACTATCAAGCTGACCAATCACAGAGCATGTGTCGTCCCAACATGAAGTTATAGTTTTTAAGAGTTCAACGTTACTCACGGTGAGAGGTTTGCGACCATGCAAAGGCTGCGCAGGACTATAAGCGTGAAGTCAACGCAGAAGTATAAACCAGCAACAGAGTGACTTGTAGAGTCATATGACTTCCCACATGGTAGGGAAATTATTTGAAATTTGATCGATTATATGTTCTGAATGTTTTGATTACGTTTTAATTAATCACCAGCTGTAAATGAAAATACTTTTCTTTTTCTTTTTTTAGACTTTTTCTTTGATATGCATTTATGATAATATTTAATATAACTAGCCATAAATTGCACTTACAGTATAAGTAAAAAAATAAATAAATAAAAATCTCCCCTTGATTTATTTATTCATTTTACCATGTTTTTTTCACAGTATTTCGTAAATTATTTTTTCTTTTGAAGAAAGTCTTATTTGTTTTATTTTGGATAGAACAAAAGCAGTTTTTATTGTTTTAAAAGCCATTTTAAGATCAATAATATCATTAGCCCCCTTAAGCAATTTATTTATACACACACACACACACACACACTTGCCTAACTATCCTAACTTGCCTTTAAATCACATTTAAAACTGAATACTAGTATCTGGAAAAATATCTATTAAAATATCATTTACTGTCATCATGGCAAAGATAAAAGTTAGTAAAACTATTATGTTTAGAAATGTGTTAAGATTCTTTCTGTTAAATAGAAATTGGGGAAAATTATACAGAGGGTCCGGGGGCTAATAATTCTGACTTTAACAGTATATGAATTAAAAAATAGGCAGTTGACAACTGTAATCCAGTGGTTAAGTGCATCGACACACAGCACCAATGTGCTCAAGGTGACCCGAGTTTGAGTCCCCGCTCAAAGTCCGTTTCCAATCCTTCCCCGCTCTTTCTGCTCTCCATGATTTCCTGACAATATTTTCTGCTATTTATTAAAGGAAAAAGGTATAGGCAATCACAGACATGTATAGAAATAAAAAAGAATGGAAGCTCTGTAAATATAAATTGTTCATTGAAAGCATCACATCTGCTTCAACCTCTGACCAACATCTGCCTCAACGTTCAATTTTCAGTGGCAATGGAGGAGGTCCAGCACAATAATGGCTCTGAGTCTCAACCTGTTTCCGTCGCCACAACTATAACTGCCTCTCACCTATCACAGATTGCCCAGGTACGAAAACTACTGTTAGTCTTTTAACTAAGTATTTTAGATGCAGTAAAAAAACAGTTTCATTTAATCCCTCGTCATTGTATTGTGGAAAGATGTCTCTGGGTGGTAATCCAGTGGCTGTGGTTCAGCTGCCCAGCGGTCAGTTTCAAGTTCAAGGCGTGATTCAGTCAGCACAGTCATCAGTTATCCAGTCTCCACCAGTACAATCACAGGTAACACACACACACACACACACACACAGACACAATATGATGTTACACTTGAATTAGATTTAGTGACATGTTTCACTTATTTCTTCATATTAGGGCCAAGGGTCTGACAGTGACGATTCTCAGGAATCAAGCGACAGCGGAGCATCAAATCAGAAGTCAAGAGAGATCTTAGCTCGGCGCCCATCTTACAGGTATAAAACTTCTGCCAAATACGTATACCTCTAATGCATTGGCCCCATGAATTCAACCTACTGTGGCTTCCTGCTAGTGTTCATTTGCATATCTGTTGGCAAATCAGAGGCAGTTGGTGCACATCTACCACGTCTAACTCACTCTTTATCAGGCTTTATCATGACCAGCAAGCTTTTTTAAATTGAAGAAGTGAACACGTTTAAAAATGATCCCTCAGTAATTAAATTTTTTTACTTTAATGAGTAATAAAGTTATAATAGAGAGGAAAACTTGATACTCAATGGTTTATGCTTTAATTAAGTCTTTTTATTTGGCATAAATACAAAAACTTAATTTATAAAACTAATGCTGTATAGCAAAATTAGTGAGTTTATTTCTGGAAATTATTAAATTAATTATTATTATAATAAATTATTATTCGTAATGCTGTCCAGAAATTTCCCCCGATCAGAGCAGCAGCGAACAAAGCAAGCATATATTTGAACACCATACAATAAAGCTATATATATATACACACACACACACACACACACACACACACACACACACACACACAGTGCTCAGCATAATTGAGTACACTCCATTTTGAAAATTAATATTTTGATCCATTTCTCAGTGAATATAGGCAATGTATTTTGGTGCATTTAAACCAAACAGATTTATTAAATGGATATATTTATTAAAATAATATTTTAGTCACCAATCATAGAAATTGAAAGATAATAAAAATAAATTTAAGCAAAATATTGCAAACAAAAAAAAAAAAAAGTACAACCTTCAAACTTTTCAACAAAATCAATATATATATATTTTTTGCTTCTCTTGATTTTTTCCTCTTGTATTTAATATTTATCTATATCATAATTTTGGGTCAACTAGTTTTTGGACTGTTATCGTAAGTTATTTTCTTAGATAAGTTCTCGATTTGGCTTCAGTACTGACTAATCTAATGTATATGCACAAATGTAATATTGTATATTTTCCTATTAAAATATGAATTTAAAAGATAGATTTGTGAGGGGTGTACTCGTATATGCTGAGCACTGTATATATTTATTCCTATACGTTCCATTGAACTATTTACATAATTTACAATACTTTATATAATATAGAAGTCATTTCCCTTATTAAAACTGTTAAGTGCATAATTTGTACTTTTTTTTGTCGTATTTTCATATCCATTTTTTTCTTCAAAAAAGTAATAGTTTAGCTGTGATGTACATCATAGCTTGTTGGTTCGGTTCATGCCTCATCACGGTTACAAACTTTTTAAAAATCCCTTTGTAACAAATGTATTGAATTCTTGGGTGGCCACTAACTGTTTGAAGAATAGTATATTTTGAATTAACTGTTTCTGTAATATAAATGTTTCTTTACGTTTTTTTTTTTTTTTTTTTTTTAAAGAAAGCAACAAAAACATATAAGGTGCATCCCAAATCGCATACTTATGTACTATTCTAAACTATTTTGCATTTTGAAAACTCTAAAAATTAATAAGTGCACTTTAATTACACATTAATAATAAATTTTATTAATGCACTTATTGAACCATTAAAAACAAGTGTGCGCTTTTGGACACTTCACGCACTTAACAGCCACTGCTTTACTCACATAGCAGAAGGGGCAGAGCTTTTAGGCACTGATTTTGGATTAATGTATTGATTTTGGATTGTGAAAGCAAAATACCCCTACGAGAGTGATTATACCACCACCCAATGGTGAATGCGGTTGTACTCATGGCAGGTATTATTTGGTAGGTTGGTTGTTTATTTCACAAATTTGACAACTGTCCAACATCATCAGGGAAACGGTTTGAATTCTGCTTAGTAAAAAAAACATTAGTGCATATACTATGCTGTTGAGTGTGTAAGTGTATAAGTGTTATGCTTAGTGTATATGCTTTGTTAGAGCTTAGTGTATAGTGTGCCATTTGGGACGCAGTCACACTCTATTCCTAGTTGCACACATTAAGAGGGTTTACATGAAGTGTACATTATTAAGTTCATGCTAGCATAACATTATTTTTATTTTGCAAACAAATCTGTGGGAAACAGCATATTAGGGCTGCACAATATTGGAAACATCTGACATTGCGATATTAAGTTTTTTGGTGATATGAGAGCAATTTCGGCAGATGACTTGTCTTTAATTGTTCTGTTTGGAATGATATCATTAACTTTGATTGGAATAATCTTGTAGAGAAGTGAATAAAAAATTGTGAAGATAAAAGAGAAATAAGTAGTAGATAATCAAATACAGTAATACAATATATTATCATGATACTTTGCTACCGATAATGGTAGATCTCGATATCAGCAACATATCACAAGAAAACCATCCACAATATATCATATCTGTAAATAAAGGGGGAAAAATGCATCAAAAAGTTATTCGATTTTTTTTTTTTATTAACAGCACTTACATTTTGTTGAATTGCAACATTTATATGCGTTCAATATATCAATAGTTTTTTTTGTTTGATATATTGTGCAGCCCTACAGCATATGCAGTATTGCTTTTTATTTCATTTGATTATTTGTGAAAATGCTTATCTTTACCCAAATCCACTCTTAGACCTGTTTCTATCTGGTTTTAAAATGCAGATAAATAATTTTGCTCATGGCTCATTATTCTCATGTTTCGTCCCTATCATTTTATTATCCTCTCTATCACTTTAGTGGGGATGCATTATTGAGTCCTACTATTTTGTTCTGTTGTACTAATGAATGAGCAAACTAACCCTGCCTCTGGAATTGGTTGAAAATGGACGAACTCAAGATCTCAATACCTGGTGTAAACAGGGCCTCCGTTAGAGGAATGTGAGAAGCACAATATGCCAAGCTCCAAATCCCATCCGCATAACTAAGAGTTTCAGCACTACACACAAACGTTCTGTTCTTTTTTGTGTTTTAGGAAGATCCTAAATGATCTGTCAGCGGAGGAGCTGGCAACTCAGAATGAGGGAGAAGAGGAAAGTTCCACCTCCTCTGCCATAACAAGCGTCTCACTCCCGACCCCAATCTACCAGACAAGCACTGGCCAATATAGTAAGCCCAGCCAACATCAGTACTTTAAAATACAATGGCAATTGAGAGTTATTGAATGCACCGTGTGGTAACTTCCTACATGTTTTGCAACAGAAGTGAAGCAAATGGTTGCATAAGGAGTGCAAATAACCAAAAACCTGTGCGTTTTGTTTTTTGAACTTACCAATCCAAACTTGATTTCCATAGTATATTCAGTATCAACAGTATCACTGGCATGGCAGTATGTTCAAGTGACACTCAACATGGAAGCATCCTCACCCAAAAAAACAAACATTTTTACCGTTAATCATTAGTAAGATGATGAAAAGAATCAATGATTGATAATAAAGTCGTAACATTTAATGATTAAATACAATGGCTAATATTCAACGGTTTAATAGGGTCACCTCAAATTTACAGACTAGCTGCTTGTACAGTGCTATTTTTCTGTGTGAGCAAATAGGTTTTGTTATTGTAAATGTTATTTTCTTCCTAATCAGCATGGTTTACACTCACCTGCCACTTTATTAGGGATACCTGAGGCTACAATTCTCACAGGTTCACCAAAATTGGACAGTAGAAGATTGGAAAAACGTTGCCTGGTCTGATGAGTCTCGATTTCTGCTGTGATCTTTGAATGGTAGGGTCAGAATTTGGCTTCAACAACATAAAAGGATGGATTCATCCCGGCTTGTATCAACGGTTTAGACTGGTGGTGTTGGGGGATATTTTCTTGGCACACTTTGGGCCTGTTAGTACCAACTGAGCATTGTGTAAATGCCACAGCCTACCTGAGGATTGTTGATGACCATGTCCAATATGACCACAGTGTACCCATCTTCTGATGGCTACTTCCAGCAGGATAATGCGCCATGTCATTAGGCTTGAATCATCTCAGACTGGTTTCTTGAACATGACAATGAGTTCACCGTACTGAAATGGACTGCACAGTCCCCACACTCAATCCAATAGAGCACCTTTGGGATGTGGTGGAACAGTAGAATCACATCATGGTTTTGCAGCAGACAAATCTGCAGACACTGCTTGATGCTATCATGTCAATATGGACCAAAATCTCTGAGGAATATTTCCAGTACCTTGTTGAATCTATGCCATAAAGGATTAAGGCAAAAGGGGTCCAACCCTCTACTAGTAAGTTGTACCTAATAAAATGGCCGGTGAATGTATTACACACTCGAAGGAAATTCTGGAGAATGAAATGCATTAAACTCTTGCTCATTTTCTTCATTACTTCCTGACATCTGCTGTAGATGCTTTGGACATAACCTTCATGTGCCTCAAATCATTAATGACATCCGTTCTTATTTGACCATCAAAAATCTGTATCGATTTATGGGTTTATCAACAATTCAAATAGCTGTTGGCATCTCAAATCTTGATGTCTATCACAGTATTCTTTACTTGTTTGCAGTTGCGATTTCATCCAATGGCTCTCTTCAGCTGGCCAGTGCTGGTTCAGAGGGTGTACAAGGCCTACAGACTCTCACCATGTCCAACTCCAACCCAAGCCAGCCAACTATACTGCAATATGCTCAGACTGCCGACGGACAACAGATTCTGCTGCCTAGCAACCAGGTGGTTCTCCAAGGTTGGCACACAAAGACGAAAAGACACTTTGTATTTGGAAATCGGCTCGTATTGTTGCTTTAGAAGGCGTGGGAGACACTCTGGCTATGATTCTGTGTTGTAGGTGCAGGAGGAGAAATGCAAGCTTATCAGATCCGCTCCTCTTCCTCCTCGCTGCCTCAGACTGTTGTCATGACTTCACCTGTTATCAACTCTCAGGGCAAGAGCGACGACCCACAAATGAAGAGAGAGATACGGCTGGCCAAGAACAGGTGGGTGCATTTGTGTGGAAGGTAATTCGTTTGTTTAGAGATATGAAGTTGGTTGGTAACGTATCCACCTTTTTCCACTTGTGACTACTGCACGTCTAATTACGGTTCCATTCAAAGCGATTGAAACAAATGAGTTCACATAAGTTTGCTCTACAAATAATCCATATCAGTAGTGAAAAGTGAGTGAGAGGTATGTTTAAGTTTTTTTTTTTTTTTTTTGCTTGATTTCAATGTCAGAATTTTACGTTGGTATTTTATCGAGACGTTACTATCACAAGCACATTTGTGGCTCTTTTGAGTTTGTTGTGTTTTGATCCTCTTGATCAGTGGTCTTCAACATTTTATCACCGCGGACCGATCAATGCTTAACAATTTTACCACGGCCCGGGGGCAGGGGGTGGTGTTGGGTATATGTAGATTGGTAGGCGACCACCGTTTTCTCAGAGGATGACAAGCTGACAAAACATTGCTGCTACTCTGATACAAGTTTTATCTATGAAGAAAATTAATAAGCCCTGCAGTGTTTAAAATGTCTGTGTTTTTCTGCAATTAACTAGTCTACCGAAATGTGTATATCCCATACTAAAGTATGCTGACCGGTCAGTTATTGTTACGTGACTCTTGGTGCACTCGCAGCATTGAAAAGTTGAGATGTTTTTAATTGGGTGCTCCTAGATGCCGCAAGCGTGTCCTTCTCAATATGCGCTGCTTGCCTCCATTGGAAATGACAAACTTGCACATGGAAAAGATGCAATATGTGATCGGCCCCTAAGGCTGCCGTCATTTGCGATCTCCAGCAGTTGATCTTCTTCTTGCACAGACATGCTGGATTCACCTGATTTGATGACAAATGTGTTGCGGATTGATTCCTTGGCAGTCTGTAGGTTCTTCACAGAGCCTTTTCCCATTCACCAAGAAACTTTCCAGCTGTTTCTTACTCATTTTGCTGGCCTGTGGGTTAAATTTTGGCGCGCAAGTGACCGAGATGTAACCGAGAGAATAGGGTCATTTTTCAAAATAAAAGATTTTCAAAATAAAAGATCGTTCAGACTAGGATAATAAATAAAACAAAAATAATTGATGATTTCTTGTGTGGCCTGGTACCAATTGATCTATGGATTGTTACCGGTCTGCGTTCTGGAGGTTGGGGACCACTGCACTAGATCATATTTTCTTATAGTATTTTAAACACTACAATAATATTCAACATACCTCCATAATATTACACTGTAGCAAGTTTTTTTTTCTCACCATAAAAATAACTATAGGAGCTGGCATGACGTTAAACACAAACAAAAAAACTTGTGGTGACGAAAACCCAATCATATTTCTGCCATGCGTTGTTTGTGTCTGGACCAAAAGATGCACATACAAGAACCAATACAGGTTGTATTATCATTCGAGAAAGGGAAACCATGCCAGTTCAACATCAAACGTTTCTTCACGTGAACCTGACATGAGGACATGTGTAGCACACACCTCACAAACTAGCTGGACAAATGCTTACAGACAGCTTAACACTGCCTATAAACCGAATGTTGGCTTGGTGTGTCCCAAGCTTTAAGAATTCTTTGATTATATGTGATCTGCTGAAAGTAACTTGTTAAAGGATTAGTTTATTCATAATTGAAAATTCTGTTATTAATAACTTGCCCTCATGTCATTTCAATCCCTGAAACATTTGTTCATCTTCAGAACATAAATTTAAATGATTTAAATGAAATCTGAGAGCTTCCTTATCCTCCATAGTCAGCCATGGTTTGTTTACTGCAAGTCATTCAAGTACAGAATATGAACAAAAAAACAATATCAAAACATTCTATGTGGTTCAACTGTAATCATACGAAGCTCCAATAACACTTTTGTGCTTTAAAACTGTAAATATTACTTGAGACATTGGTGGAAAAAATCAGGTTTTTTTTGGTGCACAAAATTGTTCTTGGAGCTTCAGAAAATTGCAGTTGAATTAAATTGGAGTCACTTTGAATGTTTTTGGTTCCTTTCCTTGACTAATACCTTTCTATAGAGCAGGGGTTCTCAATCTCGGTCCTGGAGGTTTGGTGTCCTGCAGTTTTTAGCTCCCACCCCTATAAAACACACCTGGGCAAGCTAATCAAGTTCTTACTAGGCTTTCTAGAAACATCCTTGCAGGTTTGTTAGAGCAAGATGGAGCTAAAATCTGCAGGACATCAGACTTCCAGGACTGAGTTTGAGAACCACTGCTATAGTGGATGAGAGAGCTCATGGATGTCATCTAAAATATCTCACTGGGGAATTAAAACAACCGGAGTTAGTAATTAATAACAGAACAATTTTTTGTGTGTGAACGTATACTTTAAATCCAGTTTGCATTTTTAATTTTTTATTGGATAAACTGAGGAATAATGACACTTATACCCCTTTATTTTTTACTGATTGTTAACAATTTAACACGTTAATCCCACAAATCAACAAAAGCATCGTAGTGTGTATGAAAAGGCTAGATAAAATGCAATGGTTATTTTCATATCTGATCTTTTTAATGCATTCCTCTAATGTGAATCTCCGTGTGCAGGGAGGCAGCCAGAGAGTGTCGCCGAAAGAAAAAGGAGTATGTGAAGTGTTTGGAGAACCGCGTGGCTGTGCTGGAGAATCAGAACAAGACTCTTATCGAGGAGCTCAAGACATTAAAGGACCTGTACTGTGTTAAAACTGGCTAGTGGGAGATCCCTCCAATCACGCTAATGGGACTTTGCTGGCAGACCTGTGTGTCTGCTTATGTGCTTACACAAACACAGACAGGGACTTTTTTCTGGCAAGAGGAATACATTTATTCCTCCTGTCGAATGCTTGTTTTTATACAGCTCATTTTTAACTAATAGCCTAAGAACGATTGACCAGAAACAACAGCAACAATTACGCTTTTAAAAATAGATGGAAAGAGGGATTCGTTTTTTTCCATTAACATATTTTTATTTGCCGTCGACAGATGTTTATATTTGTGTATGTATCTTGTGCAAGCGTTGGCACGTCTACACTGGGAGATCTTGCTTTATTCTTGACCCATTTGGTTTTTCCAGGGAAGTTTTGAATGTTAATTTTATTGAAGCGCTAGCTGAGCGCATTAGCTGTCTGTTGAGGTGACAGACTGGTATTTTTACACCTTATCTCAAATGCGCTTGTATGTATGAAAATTGTGACGCAATTGTGTTTTTTTTTTTCAAGTCATGCAGCTGTGTTCTTTGCATTTATTTTGTGCTATTTACCCCTTTATAGGAAGCTCTGGCATTCCTATCCCCATTCCGTATTTTGTTTTACGTTTAGTGAGACATTTTCTACAGAGACTGAGCAGATTTTAAGGTGAGGACTTTCAGCTTTACTATTATTGGTAACATTCAAGTCATTAAGTCATTTTAAGCCTTATTGTGGACTGATAGACTAATCATGTAGAATTGAAACCTTTTTAGTCCAAGCCTTGGTAATATGTCTAACTGGTCTTTAAGCCATTCACACACTTGGGTTGGGACCGTGTTGGCTTTTAGCTGATTAATAGACCCGAGGCTTACCACTGTTTATAAGCCAAGCTGTTACACGACAATCGAATCAGGGAGCATACGATGAAAAACAAAACATACAATGTCACTTGTTTTAGGTAAAGTGAATCTAAATAAATATTTTTCCAGCCTTTAATTGTTTTATCTGTCATTGTTTTAGTTTTTTCCCCCTTTTAATTCCAGTGTTCTTTTGCTTGACTACATGGAGGCCCTTGAAAAACTCCACTCAGATGGTCAAATAGGAGAAGCAAGGTTAGCTTGTGAGAAACGTTGCAATGTATTTAGGGAACGTGATATCTTGGTTGTTGCATTAAAACGTCGGCAGAAGACTTTTAAATTGAAAAGATAGCAGTATAAGTATGTTTTGACCGCATGAAAATATCAGCTAATATTTTAAAATCTCATGTCAAAGAAATTCTAGTGAATAACGTGTTGTATTTTAGTTATCAGCTAAAAATGTTGTATGATCAGATTTCTTCACTCAATCTGAGTTGTGTTAAGGAAATCTGTGTGTGAAAGAAAATAAGTGGTCACAAAGTGTTAAAAGAATAGGATCTGAATTGGACGATATAGGAATATTTTTATAGTTAATTCTGTAAACTGTTTTAATGCTACTATAACCAATATTTTAGTATGAAGGCAAAATAATCACATTTATGCAATGCATGAGTTTCATTTGAATGACACATTCCTCCAAACTGATAGATGGCAGTGTGGCTCATTTAACTTCACATAATTATCACTAATGGCCTGTTTTATCCGCTTACTGAGTCGTGACGCATGGTGTAGTTTCAAGGTCCAAGCCGTTAATCATGAGAAATATATTCATTTATGACCACGTTTTAGTCATTTCACACATTAAAGTGAGTTTTATATAAAATAATGGTGTACACTACAGTCTCTGGACTTGCTGCATCACAGACACCAATATTTTACCAATTTAAAATAATGTAATCACTTTCTGGCCATCGGATATTAGGCATGGATATACATATTGTGCTTGTGGTTTTTGAAAGTTTTACAATGCTTTGGAAACGTTTATTACCGAAGTTATTATTATTATTACCATTTGTTGAGTCTCCTCACAGTTTGATACTGTATATTGCCTCACACTGTGATGTCACACTTAACAAGTGGATAAAGATGAAAGTATTTTGTATATTATTATTTGTTTTAATATAATTATTGAAGTATTTGTTTATTTTACAGAGACATACTTGTGCAATAACAAAACGTTAAGTCTTCACTTGTTGAACAAACATTCCTTTTTTTCTTTTGTTTTTGGTTAAACATACTTAAAAGTAAGTGAAATGACTAGGGCTTGCTGAAGGAAAACGTGCTTGAGAAAATCTTTGGAAGATTTTTCTATGGAGGTAGTGGGAAATTATTCATATTCATTATTTTACTGCATAACCAATGATGTGTGGTTTGATCATAAAAAACAGAGGAGCTTGAATGTGCCGTAGTTTCACATCTGAAAATCCAGCATTGTCAATGTCCTTCCATGTAGCACGGATTGCTTCACAGCCATCTTGAAGATAGTACCTGAAAAACATACAAGACTTTCAAATTCCGTAGCGGACCCATGCTTTGTTGCCAAAATTTCATTAAGTGAATGCATTCTGGTTATAATATATTACATAATATTATTTCTCTATGTCTAAAATAAACCGTCACTTCCAATTATATGTGTGTGATAAGCATTGGGACACTGGATGTACTTACAGGAGGTAAAGTATTAAACGCATCACCATTTTTTTTCCAGAAAACATTTCTAAAGGTGCTGACGACTTGAAATTTTTACTAGATGACTGTAACAACCAAAGTAATCGTTACAAAAAAAGCCACTGTGTAAAAAATAATGAAAACAAAAAAATCTATTGAACACATGAAGAAAGTAAGGTGTAAAAATGCATGAAAGGTCCAGACAGCAGCGGAAATATATCAGTAGTTTTTCAGCAAAACCCTCTACCTTTCGTCAGTGTAAATTAATATTATCTGCCTCAGTACAAACATCTTCGTTACCAGATAATGAAGATGAAACCAGGGTCTAGACATTTTAGCCAATGAAACTAATAATTTAAGAAGATAAAGCTGCTAGAATGGCACAGACAATTGCCTGACTTAAATCCAATATTACATAAATAGGAAATAAAGATCAGAGTTCATAGACGAAACCGACAGAACTGTCTAGACTTAAAAAATAAGGACAAAATTACACCTGAGCAATGCATGCGGATACATTATCTATACAAGAGGCACCTTGAAGCTGTCATTACCCCAAAAAAAAGCCTTTTATACAAAGTATTAAATACATTTAATTAGTTGTGGTTACGTAAATTGCCTAGTTATTCCGTTGTTATTGAACATAATACCCTACCAAAATTGTTAGGGTCAATTTCTTGTCAATAGTTCTTTTAAAAATATTCACCAACAGGAAAATGCATGACATGTTCAATACTAATTTTGCCCGCTGTATTTATTCGATATGTTTGTACCAGATGTTCACCAAAATATTTTTCTAAGATCCAACAATATATTTGAAGCATATAAAATGCAGTATTTTTAATAAAAAAAAAAACTTTTTGTAATTCTTTGGCACTGTATGAATATACTATAATTTTTATTGCCGTAAAAAAAAAAACTGACAAGAGACCCTAATATAATGATAATAGGTAAATATTAAGATTTTATGTCACCAAAATGGCTGGAGAACATGCTGAAAAAAGTAAGCCCAGGTTGAAGGGTCTGACACCACATGCTCAAGGAAGAAAAATGCTCCACCCTGAAGAACAAAAAGCAGTATTTAGATTTCTCAACTTTTTTAAAATGTAATGGTGTTAGTGGAATATGACAAAATGCATAAGTATTCAATAGAAATGATAATAGAAACAGCAGTATTTATAACAGGTTATGTTATAACACCAAATGTAATACAGTGTAATAACTTACAGGCCTCAGGACCCTTTTTGCCTCCTGCAGAACTTTGTTGGTGTCTTTGACCGTGCACAGAACCAGAGTGCAAACCACAGCATCCACCGAGCTGTCCTCCACCGCCTGCAGATTCTCCCCCGACGCCACTATGAAGCTGTCGTACACCAGGTGCTCGTTCTTCTCCATACTTTTCTCCAGGTATGTCTTAAAATGCGGGTTGGGGTCTGTGCAGGTGATCTTGGAGCCCGTCGGGTAGTGCTCGAAGTTCGCCC